AAAGAGCTGGTGGGAGCCGGGTGGCCAGCTGTCCCAGGAAACCTGGCCTTCCTGGAACCACGTGGCAGCGCTATCCATGGCGGCCAAGAGGTAGAAGCCGCCAAGGGTCCGTCCATGGGTGAACAGGTAAAAACGCAGTGCATCCTTGCAGCAGGGACTCGTCCAGCCCTAGAACGGCGTGAAGCGCTGAAGCAGGCTGCAGCTGGCAAGAGGCTGCTCAGTGGGGGCACAGCAGGCCACGGGTACCGTGTGATTCCGTTTTGTGAACCGACCAGAACAGATCCTCCCTCAGCCTTAGAGGGAAACAACCAACCCTGCCGACACCCTGAGCTCAGGCTTCCGCCTCCGGAACCACGAGGCGTTACACTGCTGTCGTGTGAGCCGCCTGGTCTGGGGTACCTCGCTCCGGCAGCCCCTGCGAATGCCTGCGGGCCCCCACATCAGGTTGGCAAAATCTGAACTTTTGGTGGCACCCGGCCAGGATTTGGGGCAAAAGGTACTTGGACTCTGTAAGGGGACTTCCCACAGCCGTTGGTGTTTCTAACCAAAGTGAAGATGTGCACGCCCCGCGTCCCGGCCCCACGGCTAAGACTCCATCACTCGATCGTGGAGGATTCTGCAGGAGGGCAGGACACTGGGAACCGGGTGACGTACGTGACCGGGGCGGGTCAGCTGGGTTATGTGCGCTGCGCAGCGGAAGGCATGTGACTGCAAAGACACGGTGGAGGTGTGTGAATGGGAGAGGCAAGTTGCCCAAGACCAAGCCTAGCGAAGTGCCCTTCGCTTCCTTTTTCAGCTGACACGAGACCGCGGTGAGAAGGCAGAGTCGCCCCGAAGGGCACACACGCCCGTCTGCAGGGGTTCCTGCCAGATGTGTGGACTGCAGAACGTGTGTTTCTTGTTTTAGAAGCTTTTTAAAAAGTGATCTGATTACGGATGATTTTGACTCTGTGTCTTCCGTCTTTTGCAAACATCACATGTCTGGCGATAAGCAGTTAAAGTAAGTCGATGCGGAGACTAAGATGGAAGGCACAGGCCACGCTCAAAAGAGGGGGTTCCCCGGGCCTCGTCCTTCCAGCACCGTGCCCCTGCCTCGGGCACCGCCTGATCTTGACTCCAGATCGTTCTGGGTCGTTGGTCAAGACCATTCAGAGTCCTCGGCTGGCTGACCTGTTTCCCCTCGCCCTTACTCAACTTTCACAGCGATCCTGTGAAGTAGGGCTTTTCAGGCAGGGAGTGGAGGTGGGTGGTGTGGGGTGGAGGGTTGGTGACAGATTCAAGGCAGGACTTGAACCTGGCCTCTCGGGCTCCTGTTAGCCTCTGTGGCAATTGCCTTTGTTGGCTCTGGACCTGGAGCAAAGTCAGGGGCCGCGGTCCAGCCCTGACCTACTGGGGGTCACTGTCCCTTCAGGGAGGCGGCCGCCAGAACCCATGAGTGGATGGAGGTGGTGAGGGAGTGAGCTCTTCCCACAGCCCTGCTCTCCGGTGACGTCTGTCACAGTGGTTCGCAGCACCTGGGGCCTTTAAGTGACCAACTCAGCTGCTGTCCACCCACGAGCCGACCACAGGCCGGACACTCTCACCCACGAAGCAACGTGGAGGAACCATGGACAGAATGGGGAGAGACTCCCATGACCCCATTTCCAGTCCAAAACAGGTGAAGTCACCACTGCTAGAAGCCCCAGTGGCCACTGTGGGAAGGGAGAGACCGGGAGCGGTGCACGTTCCACCTTGACGGGGGCGCTGGTGACACTGCGTCCCTCTGTGAGGACATCCAGCCAGCTCAGCACCCATTAGGGCACCTTTTTGTATGTGGATTACTCTTCAACTAAAGGTTTTCCAAATGCTCATGGGTCTTGAGTCCCTTAAAGCATTTTGGGTCCCTGAGAAGCAGGTGGGGCAGAGTGCAGCTGCTTCCCAGCACGGCTCAGGCCCCCTGGTGGAAACACTCTGCCCTTTGGGCCCCCACATCCCATTAGCCAGATGGGCTCCCACATGGCCCCGGGGCTGCTGCCTGCGGCTCTGACTCAGGGCCAGGAAACAGGTGCTGCTGCCCAGGCCTGCAGTGGAGTCACCAGCCCCAGCTCCCTGTGGGCGGGGAGTCGGCTCACCCCTCCTCCAGGCTGAGCCACCGGCAAAACATCCAGCTGGGTGAGTCACCCCAGGGCACAGGTGGATTCTGGACTCCCTGCAGGGGCTGAGCCTCTGGCAGCAGCAGTCCCTGGGGAAGCCCCTCAAGATGGGCTGCCAAGGGTGGGGGAGGGGCTGAGATGGGAGGACCTCGGTGGGAGGAGGCGGGAGGGTGGGAGGGGAGCGGGAGGGGCTGGGGGAGGAGTGGAAGGTGGAGGAGGGGGCTGCGGTGGGGAGAGGAGACTTCTGGGCACCGAGCCCCTGGCCGTGCGGAGTGGGCTGGGGGTTGGGAGTTGGGGGAAAGAAGATGCTGGGGGTGGGCTTGAGGGAAGAGGAAGGCTCCACACTGCTGCTGTACCGTACACTCCGGCCTTGGCCGTACAGCAGGTGAAGTGGGAGAGGCTAAGTTCGACCCAAGACCAACGCCTAGACAAAAGTGCCCTTCGCTT